AGTTGCTCATGCGGTGTGTAAGCGGTCCACCAATCCTTAATATCCGTTTGTGCAATGGCATGAGTCTATGTCAATCAGCACTTTATTCAAAATCATAAGATGATACAATCATGCCTTTAATGAAAAACCTAACATTAAACTAAACTAATTTCCTTTACGAGTTGTCGGTGTTTTATCGTCTGTATATGTCATTGGCATCTGTCTGATTGTCAAAAGCTTCATAGCCTCGGAACCCCACTTGGCTGCTATGTCAAAACCATTTTTGGAACTGAAATTACTGATTAAAATAACAAAAACAAAAAGTACTAAGAATCGTCAGTAATTAAACAATTGAAAATCCACGCCGTACGTTGTTTTAAAATAACCAAGGGAGGAATGATTCGAAGGAGGTAGCTTCCTTTGCCAGCATAATAACGCTTTGACTAAGAATGGCAATATAATGCTGGAAGTCAAAAAAGTTACGTGTGCTGCTCCAATATGGCCTAAAAATGCAGCCTTGATGTGGGAATCACATGCTTTGTCACCACGCGTATTTAAGAAGCACACTAGAACAAAGGGCACGTTTTAAATGAGGAAAAAATACCGTTTCCAACGCCAAGGTTCGGTAATACTGCACAATCAGTTCTTCTGACGTTTGGCTGTTGAGTTTCAAATGCTTGTTTAGATCCTGTAATAAACAGTATAAACTATGAGTCATTCATTGACCACTTTAGAAGCCACCGTATACAAGTTCATGCTGTCGATGATCTCCTGGGTAAGACCGTGCCCGTTGGCGTGAAAATAGGAACACAGGTAAGTGAGAGTGTCCTCAAATCGTCTGTAGAACACGCGTTCACACTAAACATCAAAGCAACTTTCAAATCACGATTATGGATCGCATGATTTAATTTTTTTATTATGATACATTTCTTGCATTAAAATAACACGCAATATGGTAATTTGTAAATTGGGCCCGCTTTTCTCATATCTGGGAGTGCTCTAAATGCCGAGTTCTGCCGTTTGCACTCCAGCCCTCAGTAGAATCCTCAAGATCGACAGAGACTCCCAATCATTAAGGAAGTGCAATCATGCACAAGGGATAATAACAACTGGTGAATGTACGGCAAATGGCCCAAACCATGGGAAATTATCCTGACTTTAAGAGAACATGAATAAGTTTCGAACAACTGATTCTCAAAAATAGCTAATTTCATAATTTCCCCTCAAAATGAGAAAACAACCAGGCGATAACAGCGGAAGCGTTAATAACAAAACCTGCAACACTTACGTCTGGGTTGCTCTGAACGACGGTTTTGATTTCGATGAGTACGTTGTGAAAGATCAGGCGCAGGACTCGAGTGAAGCTGAACAGACTGAGTTGCTGCTGGTAGCGCAGGATGACGTCATCAAGATACTTCACCAACGGAGTCCAAGCTTCTTCTGACGTGCATCCGGATGGAGACATGGCCAAGTGAAAGATCTAGCATCTCCCTCATTCAAGGTACAGTCCAAAATTTACATGATGGACGTAAAACTTACATGTTTCCTCAACGTAACAACGTGTCTTTTGCAGAACTGATCCAGTAAACCGTCCGCAACAGCAAGTATCATGTTCAAAAGAGGCTCGATGACCTCCTTAATACCATTGCAATGGGTACATTCCTGAAAAAATATTCTTGTGTAAGAAGGCGCCCCTTCTTCCATCCGTCAGTAGAGTGGCATAACGTCAGAAAGTGAGTAGTACGTTTTCATTACATTCTTTAATATTTAACATAATATTCGATTAATTGCACGGTGGAGCAGGCATTGAAAAGGCGTTGAAGAAAAGCCCTAGCGACCTCGATAATAACGGCTTAAAGTTGTTGTGATTCTGAGCAAACAGCGCAATGCCTCGAGCATCGAAACTCGTATATCTGATATATGATGGCTTGAGCATAGGGATCGACAATCGATTTCGACTGGGTGATCTTTCCGTTTGACAAATGCGCTTTGTAACCGATATCGACGCTAAAAAGGCCCCGATGCCCCAGTTGTTCTTGTCAACCGATCATCATCCTGTTATTGGTGCCCTCCGACGCAAACGATGATGTACCGCACGAACACCTGGCGGCAGAAGCAACCAGAGATTTCAGTGGGAAACACTCATGGATACAAGGGAAAAACTTTCAAACAATATCAGACGACGGATTAAACAGATACACGGAATGACAGAGACTTGGAAACCTGATGGAAGCTCTTTAAGAGCGGCTTACTCAAGGCTGTTACCGAATGCAACCTGAAAATCAAAACGAAGCGAACGGAAATGAACTTACTGTTGGGAACCAGAAGAACGGCTGGTTGTCAGCCCGAATTAGACAACACTCAAAAGATTGCTTAGAAGCAAATACCTTTCAATTCGAATGCACCCAGAAAGACAGCGGAAGTAGTGGCCAAAGCGAAAGCAGATTCTTGAGACATTTTCTGTTAGGTGCTGCAGTCGAATTTCCAGACGGTGAAAAAAGGTATGATGAAGAACCATCCACCGTCCCAGAGATGAAATGAAGGACAACATGAAAGTTCTGGTCCGGGAGTTTCCTCACTAATGCAGAAGTTATACTTCACAATCGTACTTTGATAAACTCCTTGACCCTGAGAAACCGCATGAAGACTCGCCTGAAGATCAGCAGGCAAGAGATTTAGTTTTTCAGCAGACGAAGTCACAGTAACTGTAAAGCGCTTGAAAAGTGGCAAGACTGCTACAGCCGAAGAAATTCGCCTCGAGCTGTTTAAAACATTTGGCGTACAAAGTAGGTTGTGGCTAGCACGTGTCTGCCCAACTGCAGTGACTGCGAACAAGA